TAGGCAATTTGGACAAGGGCTTGGACTGCCGAAGAAAACAGGCCTGGTGACCTGTTAAATAAATATATTTACCTATCTGGACTAGTAGACATGAAACAAATTGAGAAGACGATTCAGTATCTGATAGGGTCAGGAATGGTGAGATTCTTGCCACATTAATTTCCGAAATTCTTTTTAGGTGCTGCAATTGCTATCATTAATGTTTTTTTAGTTTGAATTCTCTTTCGAACTATAGTCAGAATGTCAAGGAACTGCATCCTTTCTCATCACTATAAGCACTTGACTTTCCTCGTGTGAACTAATTGTGCAGAATGGATATTTTAATATCGAAAACTTTTAACCTTCTTGGGTTGTCTTTCTCTTCATGTGCATGTGATTTAGGCTATGTGAACTTTGGAAAGTATGAGGCTGCATGTCTATAATTAGATTATTTTCTCTTCTGTTTGCTTTTGTTAGATATTTCTTAAAAGTCAGGATTCGACTATTGAATGAGCAGTTCGATTGACGCTACTGTATGGAACAGCAAATGAACAGAGAATTAATTTTGCTGTAATTGTGGAGAAATTCTGAGAATATCTTATTATCACATGAATGTCACGCAATAGTTTGTGTTGGACTGTTGTATTTAGATATTTTAATTTGACACATCTCTTATACTTCCCAAATGTTTCCAGGATCCTCGTACAGAAAACAGTCGTTATCTTGGATTTATCTACACATCATTTCAAGAAAGGGCTACATTCATCTCCCATGGGAACACAGCCAGGCTTGCTAAGGAGCATGGGGACGTAAAGCTTGCTCAAATATGTGGTACAATCGCCTCGGATGAGAAGCGTCATGAAACTGCATACACCAAAGTAGTTGAAAAGCTATTTGAGATTGATCCTGATGGAACCGTGCTTACTTTTTCTGACATGATGAGGAAGAAAATCTCTATGCCAGCACACCTTATGTATGATGGGCGGGACGATAACCTTTTTGAACACTTTTCGGCTGTTGCTCAGCGGCTTGGTATCTACACCGCTAGAGACTATGCAGACATTCTAGAATTTTTGGTTGGTCGATGGAAAGTAGCAGATCTAACTGGATTATCTGCAGAAGGGCGAAAAGCACAGGATTACGTCTGTGGATTGCCTCCAAGAATAAGACGACTAGAGGAGAGAGCTCAAGGAAGGGCTGAGCAAGCACCCATCATTCCATTTAGCTGGATATTTGACAGGGAAGTGAAGCTCTAAGTGCATATGAGAACAAGTTCTCTTTCTCTGTAACAGGCCTTTTCCCATCTGGACATAATTGAAGTTAAAATAATTGAGTTGTGTTGTTTGCAGTTGCAGTTTGTTCCTTAATGGGAAGGGATTTTCTTGGGAGTGACGAAAGGGTTGTAAGTACGGTTGTTTCTGCTGTAGTTCTTGATACTTACTTCTTGAACGCGTGGTCTTTATTAAATTTTACTCGTATAGTATTTGTGTCTGTAAGCGTACAACATAATGGAATTTTAGTGAACATTTAGTGTTTAGCTGCACAATAACACTTCTCTTCCCAATGATGATGAAGCAACCATATCTTGATCAAACAATTACTTGTAAAAGTAGGGCACTGCCCTTGAAGCTAGGCTGTTATGTTGTTCACATTTTGAAATTTTATGGATATATGGAAATATGTGTCACGATATATTGCTGAAATGATCCAAGTTACCCATCAAATGACATGAAAATGAAGGCCAATCAAACTTGTGTGAACAGGTGAACATACGTTGTTTGGGCAATATCGGATAAAATTCAAGAACAAAAAGATATTAGAAAGTTTTCTTTTGCAGTGTTGTTTGCTACTATATACCAAACATATAATGATACATTTTGCCAACCATGGTCACTAGATTTTGTCAACGAGTCCTGACATGGTCTATGCAAAATTCAACCTATATTGTATGCATTCCCATTAGGGTTAGGTCCCAAAATGCGATTTTTTCCGCATCTTTTGGTGATTCAAATTCAATGCCTTCCTTAAGTAGCACTTACGTTGAATGTTGAATTTTGTCCACATGGTAAGCATATATAGGTTAGGTCCCGAGGGGTTTTTATGACATTTTGGTCCATTTGAACGCAAACCTCCTTCAATAGGCATTTAAGTTGATATCACCCAATGGCCTATTGGGACCAACATTCAATATAAGTACTCAAGGGAAGTTTTTTGCAACCGTAACACTGTGTTTGGGACTTGAATTTGTCTTTGCCGTGAACAGCATATGCCACATTAACCATCTTACCGTAACGCTGTGTTTGGGACTTGAATTTGCCTTTGCCGTGAACAGCATATGCCACGTTAACCATCTTCAGTGTGTGTCATGCCAAGCTGAGTGGATACAAGTTGCTCTTTGAATTTGAATTGCTAGGGACGCAAAGAAACAGTCTTGGAGTTTAAACAACCATGATACAAATCCACCCGTTTCCTTGACAAATTATCAGATTTCGAACAAGGAATCATAGGTTTATTAACAAGGAATCATAGGTTTATTACATGTAGTGAAAGACTCCACAAGAACCACATACATGTTCAACGACATGTGTAAAATATTTAAATTGCAAAAAGGAAAATTACAAACCAATATCTATTTGCAACAATGGCTTCAGCAAAATGATGAAATTTATGTTTCAGGCTGCATTTTCTCACATTCCTCCCTGATCGACTCGAAAAGAACTGTCGATAAATATCTCTCTCCAAAGCTAGGAAACACAACCTACAAAGAATACATAACTTCAAATTATTTCAACTCTACTCATTTCCTTTTTTCAATTGCATAAATTAATTATTTTTTTTTTCTGTTTATTAGACTTCTCTTTAAATGCTGATGGAATTCTATTTGCACACAACATTAATTCACAAAATCAAGTGCAAAATATTGTGATTTTGGTCATACTAAACCATTTAATTAAAATAAAGAATAAAAATAAAAAAACACGTTGAAACTGGTTATTGCCAGCAAAAGTCGCCAAAGTCACATACTATCTGAAACCACTAATTAACATATGTGCATGTTTCGTATTTAGTGCAAGACAAAACTCGACACAATCTTATCTAATATTGCCCATTTACTTTATATCCTCCCTATTAACATGCCATAAAATCTCATGCAACCAGGCATTCTCATAATACAAGTTGAAAGGGAAATATATATATGAAAAATCACAGAGAGAGATCGCACCATACAACAGGTCCAGTTTAGATCTATAAATTGATCTTCAACATTAAACCCTAGGGTTTTGTTCATTTTCATTTTATTTAAGACCAATTCAGTCCACCGTTCATAAGCAGCTATTGGAGTACAAAACATTTGTCCATAACAAACCATTGTTCATAAGCCAACCTTGTGTATTTGAAAGCTTACAGATGCCAGAACTTAAGATTTCCAGAGTCCCAGGATTACATTTGAATTCGACTAAGCCACATTATATGGAATACATTCACTTACTTGATATGAGATATCACCAACAAGAGAAGGAAAAAACTAATCAATTAGCATACCGCAATAAGCTTTCCTGAATTTTCAGGTCTCTTTCCAACCTTCATAGCAGCAGCAGCAGCTGCTCCAGAAGAAATACCCACCTGTTAAGATGTAAAGTATGCAACTTGAAGATGCAATACTAATGTGTGTGCTCTAACAAATTTATGCAATACAAACATGAAGTACTAACCAGCAGGCCCTCTTGAAGAGCTAACTGCTTAGCAGTTTCAACAGCTTCGTTACTTGATATCTGGATGAGAAAAGGTCAATTCAATTAGCAGAACCAAGAAACTGTTAAACGCACAAGTAGATATCACAAATTAAAAAGCTAATACAGAGCAAATAAATGTTGATTAGTTTTCTCTCAATTTGAATTTCCTAGTGTCACGAGGACAAAGTTTTGAGATTAAAATCGCAGAGATCTGATGTCAGCAGTGGAGAGCAAAGAGTGATGTGCCTGAAATGGTAATTCAACTGGCAGAGATAATACGGCACTTTGAGGAACATGACAGCTTTTGTTGTAACAGTGTTCAACTATAGATAATAGAATCACAAAACTTCATGGTCTAGACATTTAGTTTACCTAAAAATGAGAATGAAACGTGTATTATCATGCAGCTGGAAGTGCACTCAAGTCCTCACCTCCAAGGGAAATAAAGGACCAACAAACTAAGGGAACTGAACTTGTACAACAAAAAACTAAGGCTTATTCCCAATCAATTTGAGGTCATTTACATGAATATTTTTGGTCACTATGTTCTGTGCGTTGCTTCATCTACTCAAAGATGCAAAGCAACTATATCTTCGCGTCATAAGATGTGATGAAGTTTTATATTTGTTGTCAATCTACCACAAACTCCTTTATCTGAAACTAAAATTATAAATTCATATACACAAAATATGACTCCAAATTATACAATTGCAATAATTACAAGATGCCCCACTGACATAAAACTACAAGGAATTCTTCCTCAGAAACAATATCACATTTAATCAACTTCAAGAAATCAAAGTTCAAATCCTAATTAATAGAAATGCCAACAGAGATGACCTTGTCCAATTAAAGGCTGTGATTGAGGACAGGCTGAGAAACATATGCACCCCACCAAGGACCAAATTCTAGAATGGTGACACATAAAACATCATATTCTACACTTCCCATAAATGTTAAGGGTCCAAGTTTTTGCCAAATGTTTTCATGGGAAGAATTGTTTGCTTGGTCTACGTCCTTATTCCAATACATGTTGTCAATTAACACCAAGAGCAATTAATAACACGAAACAGAAAATGAAAAAACAAGTAAAAACACGCAATTTATAGTACAATCTCAAAGCGAGAGCTATGTCCACTTGCCACAGCAGGATTTCACTATAAAGAGAAGAAGATTACAACATGTTTATGAACTCAAGCCTCTACAATGTTCTCTCTACAGCCCATTAAGCCCTTCAACATTATCACAAGTTCGAACCGCGGTCAAGAGGAAAAATGAACAATATAATTGGGCTCCAAACATCAACATATTGGACAACACAAATTTGATTCTAAAACTGCTACATGAGAATTGGAAAATAAGGTTAGAAATGACTCTAAGCATCAAGCTAGAATGATCAATGATCAACTTAGTAACTAATGCAGTGGGAGATATCATTTGATAGCAACAATACCTGCATGAACTATAGTCCAACTACTGTAAAAAACATGAGAAATATGTGCCATCGTGTTTGCTAACATTGTGAATGTCAAAAATTTGACATGTTCAAATGATATTAAAAATTAGTTCTCTAAAATTCATAACTTAATCTGCCCTCTGACATGATTAATGTACTATGACAATTTCATAATTGGGCTGTCATCACAGGAATCTAGATCTGTTCTACACTTGACCTGCTGCTACACAACATTATTTTCGCTAAGATAATCACAGACAAGAAAAAGATTAATGTGAGAAGTATAAAGCTGTTCGACGGAATGACAATTTTGGATCCATTAAGTGGCTTTAACTGAGTAAAACTCAAACTATGCATTATAACTGTTAATTACATGGAAACACACAGAATTGTATATAGTATTGTGGAAGTAAGAACTGGACCTCTATGACTTCATCCATCACATCCTGATCTAAATTCTTTGGAATAAAACCTGCTCCAATCCCTTGAATTTTGTGAGGGCCTGCAGTTTCAATTTGCACATACTAGAACAATATACATATTTCATATTGCAATTACGAAAACTTATGATATTTGACTTTCATCTTACCAGGTTTTCCACCAGACAGTACATTGCTTTCTGTGGGTTCCACACCGATAACCTGATGTAACAGGAAAACAATTGAATGTTACAAGAAATCAGAGATATCTAAACAAATTATTGGTTAACTTTTGAACCTCAAAGGCAGGAGCTCATTTGCACTCAGCTGACGTGCATGGAGGAAATCACATTGCAAAAATTCATAAGCAAAATGTTATCCTAAAAAGTGAATCTACTACCTTAATTTTTGGATTTTTCATTTTAAGATATTGGCCAACTCCTGATATGGTTCCACCAGTGCCAATCCCTGCAACAAGTATGTCCACCTTGCCTCTTGTATCTTCCCAGATCTCTGGACCTGTTGTTTCATAATGTATCTGCAAGATGCACGACCATAAGTCCAAATATTTATGTATCTAAATTAAAAGTTCAAAACGCAAGCACAGAAGGCACATAAGATGAATTGTTTCATAATATTGAACCATACTATTGTATTTCAACCATCTCCACTATCAGAAAGGGAGAGAAGACTAAAGCGCCAAGTCTATTCACAACCATACTTGGTGTATTCTTTAGGTGATTAAAAACCAAGCCAGGATGAAAGCTGAAAAATAATACCACTAATTGTACAGAAAAGGGTCCTAACCAAATCTATTAGAGAGAGTTCTGCTGGAAGGAAGAAAAGAGAAACCTTGGGATTTGCAGGGTTGTCAAATTGTTGAAGCATATAGGCATTTGGGGTGCGATTCAATATTTCTTCAGCTTTCTGCACAGCTCCTTTCATGCCTTTGGCCGCATCAGTTAAAACGAGTTCAGCT